AACTTGAAATTTAAAAAAAATAAATTATGACTGAACTTAAAATACCTAAATTAAACTCAAAGTCAGATTAGACCAAATTTAAAATATTTTCGTTTAGGGAATTTGAATTTTAGCCTAAAATCCGAAAAGTCACTAAAAAGTTAAAAAGCCAATAAACTATACAAAAAAGTAAAGGATTTAATTTTTTCTCTATTTTTTGCACAATTTTTCATAAAAAACCAAAATTCATCTTAAACATACTAATTTTTTTTTTTTAAATTATAGAGAACATTGGTGAAAAACCATTTTAAAGGGGGTCTAAGGAATTAGATCCAAGGTTAAACATTATTTGTTGATAAGGACACAATTTGATCGGTGTAGTGGCTTGTGTCAAACCTGACCCTTTTTGCCTTTCCGTTTGGGCTTTGTGTTTGATTTGGGTTGACCTTCACCTTACCTTATTGAGTTTAGCTTTGTTTACCCTTGGATTTGTCCCAGGATTTGAAAGTGAGTGTTCTAGGTGTAAGTGATCGCGTCTACTACCACAGAGGTCGCACGTGCGACCATGTTTGGTGTCCTAGTAGTTTGGCTTGAAGAAGAAGTCACATCTGCGATGGCACCCGCGACCAAAAAGCCCTCACAATACTCTTGTCTGAGGAAAACCCTAGCGCCCATGAGTGGCCCGCAACCTTCACAGTCACACTCGCAATGGGTAGGTCACTACTGTGTGAGTCGCGCCTGTGGTGGTTTTGACTGCACTTATGATGGTCTCTCTTTGTAAGACCTGAGTGCTTGTGAAAAGTCACTTCTTTTTTTTTTTTATCCTTTCTCTCTTATCATTCCCATTTTTGCATTTTTGAGCTTCTAAGCTTTTCAAGCCTTAGATTCGTCAACTTAGAGGTATAATGGCGGTGTTTGAGAAGTAAATTTTTTGGTTTTTTTTTTTTTCCCACTAAAAGACAAATTGGTTACAAAACCAAAAAAACTAATCCAAACAAAATATCACATCAAATCTCATAATCATTTCATTTTTTCTCTGACAAACATCACATCCAACCACAAAAAAACCCAACTATCTTCCCAAACACAAAAAAAAATTTCTCCAATAAAATCCTACAACTAAAAAAACCTACAAAAAAACCCACTTCCCAAACACCCACAATATCATCCTAGTTTTTCATACCAAAACGTAGAATGAGGCAATAGCTTTCTTTTGAGCCAGTTAGTTCATGTTTTTGTCGACGTCAATTTTTGGGCATTCTTCTCTTCGGTTCAAGAGGTAGGGATTTTCTTGCTTCTCTTCAAATATACTTTTATAGATAGATATGCGGTACCTTCTATTGCATGAATACTTGATTCTTGGAAGAGATTTTTGAAATCCATGTTAGTGGAAGTTAGGGTTTTGAATTGACAAGTTAAACTTCATGTTTTATCATTGATTAAGAGGACTCTATGCTAATGGAAAATGTGTTAAGAAGAGTGATGTGAAAAATCCTAATTTTTATATGATGTTATGAGAATTGAAAGATGAGAGGTGAGATGAGATGATGGCTCCATAATTGTTGAACAATATTGATTATTGTAAATTGGGAGTGTGATATGGAAGAGGGAAAAAAATTGAATGATTGTCATGGGTTTAATATTTATGTTGAAATTGTTAATGATTGAAGTCATGGAACGAATTATGGAATTTAAGTAATAATGTGATTATTAATGAAAACCTTGACTTAGTTGATGTTAATGGAGTTGTGGTTTATTATATTGAGATTTTATGTATTTACCGTTTAGAGGTTTTGTCTTTAGCTATCGGTGGAGGATGGTATTTGTTGTTGTTTAGTAGGATGTATGTGTTACATGTGATTGATTTAATTTGTGTAATTTGTATTGATGTGGAATGTGATGAGATGGATGAGAAAAGTGCTATATAGAGGGTCTATTTCCTTTCCAGTTAGCACTTAATAAAGTATGACGCATTGACATAGGTTCCCTTTCCTTCCAGCTTGTGCCTAGTAAATTAGGTGGAGGTTCCATTTTCTTTCGACTTGTAACCGGTAAAATGTAGCGCCTTGAGATAGGTTCTGTTTCCTTTCGATTTGCGGCCGGTAAAGCATGTGGATTGTTAGGCTGTATGGAGGTTCTGTTTCCTTCAGACTAGCCATTGGTAAAGCGTGTCACTTTGAGACAGGTTCTATTTCCTTAAGATTAACACTTGGTAAAGCGTGTTGGTATGGTTTGACGAAGCCAAGATTTTGAGGTGTGATTCTGATTAGTTGTTACTTGCGTGATCATGTAGAGATGCGTGTATGCAATGATATTGTGATAGATAATTAATGTGTGTGTAGTTGGATTTTTAACCGTTTGTATATTGCGATAATAGTTGGTCTTGTTAGTAGTAGTAGATGTTAATTGTTGTCTATTATTTATGAGATGATGAGATTATTTGTATGAATATATTTTTAAATTTATAACTAAAGTTGGGAAAACTTTTGAGGAATTAATGATAAATTGGAAAGATAAGGAATGGTTTTGTTTCTTGTTATGTTAAAGAGGATCTTTTAGGAAAATATACTTATGTATATACTTTGGTTATGAAAAAATAACATAACTTATGTATTATCATTTGAGCATTCATGATCATATTTATCTATAGAATAGTATTGTTTAGAAACATTGGGATCTCTATTGGACATTAGTGTTTATCCCATGTTGTTGTAATTTTTCAGGTTCAAGTTAGAGAAGTTACTCAAGACTACCAATGCTTTTATTTATTGGTCATGAGGCCTCATACTTGTATGCGAGATGCCAATTTGTTGTAAGAAGGGTTAAATCCTTATATTTCATTGTTTTGTTTTAGTTCTTCAATATAAGCCTAAAGGCATCTGTTGTAAATAATTGTGTTTGAATATGTCATCACGGTATATACGAGAGAGCGTTTATTGTTTAATTATTTTTGCTTCCATTTTTATTATTATGGAGATGGACTTTAATCAAAAAATTTGGTAATGTACTTGGGTAATAAGTTTTGGGGTGTTACAATCTAGGTCAAGTAACAGGTTTTGGAAATATTGACTGATCGATCAATGACGGATCGAAGCTAGGGTTTATAGTTTGCAAAATATTGAAAAACGTAGAGTCTGAAAATGTCAAAAGACTCGTTGATGCTACCTCTGAAATGGTCATTGCAGCTACAGAGGCGGTGATGTAGGTCATCGTTACCGTCATGGTTAAGACAATAAGGTTGGAGCTCTTGCTGCAGGAATGAGAGTTGGATTTTCAGTTAGCGGTGTGTTAGAAGAGGATTTTGGTTTGAAGCATTTGGTTTTCCGGTAGTCACCGTCGACGGGGATGTAGTGGATGTCGTTGCCTTTGGTCCAGTATCTCCGACAACTTTTGTAGAAATGGCAAAGTTAAGTGAGGTGGTATTTGTTGTAGTAGCAGAACTTGGTGTTGAGTGAGTCGCATCGAGGGCTCTTCAAGGTCTACTAGTTCTGGTAGTGGTGGCAGTGGTGGTAGTAGTGGGTCTTTAGCCTCCGATCGCCTCCGCCATCGAATAATCATGTCCCGTTTTTGCTTCAAATCGAAAGAACATTTAGAGCTATTGGCACAAATCTAGAGACTGATGTTGTTCCAAATACAAAAGGTGTAAATGATGATCTAGTCTCGTAATTGCATGCAAATGTCTGAAAGGTTAATGAATTGAGTGCAATAAGAGTTGATACTTCAAAAACAATAAAGTCAAAGGTTGGTGAATTTCAACAATTCAAAAACATAGGTAGATGAGTAAATTTTAACAGGTAGGGGAAATAGAATTTGTGAATTTCAACAGATAAGAAAAATAAGTATGGTGAATTTTAACAGATAGGGAAAATAGGCTCGGTGAATTTCAACAGATAGATTGTTTGGTGAATTCTAACAGATAATGTCCTTTTGAACAAATTATGTCCTTTTAGTCCAATAAGATTAGACATCGAGCCTAATGGCCTAAAAGATTAAAAAATGAACCTATGACTTGAATTTATTTTTTATTTTATTTTTTTAACTTCATATTTTAATGGGAAAATTATACTAACAGACTCTATAGTTTAGGATTTATGTCACTTTGGTTCTTGACTTTTCAATTGTGATACATTTAACCTTAAATTTTGAATCTCGTTCTAAATAAAGACAATTGAAGGCAGTGTTGTTCCATTGGAAGGACAAAATTGTCATACAATTTATTTTGTATTGATTAACTTATATTCTGTTTGAACTATAATGGCATTTTTTTAATGAATAATGTTGGAACTTATTTTGTTGTAAAGTTCTGTTTGGTTTGGTTTTTCAAAATTTTTTCTAAGAAACTAAAAATTAAATTAGTGAAAAAAATTAAAAACACATCATTGTTATATAATTTTATCTTTTGGGAAGGTAGAAATAATTTTTTTATATTTATTTTTGTTAAATTAGTTTTTATTTTTTTTCAAAAGACAAACATAACAGCAATTTTAATATCATTATTAAATCAATCCATTAAATCAAAAAATTAAAAATTAAAAATATTTTTTATATTAAACCTATCGATTATATATTAAAAATTTAATAACCATCTATTACATGATAACCATTTAAAAATACTTGTTAACAAGAAATACAACCACCATCCATTACATTATAACTATTCAGATACCTCTTAACAATAAATACAACAATCTACTACATGATAGCCATAAAAAAATATCAACAAAAACAACCACTTATTGTAGGATCATCATTCAAACCCATGCTAAAAATTAATTTGGTAAAAAAAATAATAACAATAATGGAAATGATTTATTATTTTTATATAATTTTACCTTTAGTGAGTAGAAATAAAATTTTGACATTTATTTTTATCAAATTTATTTATATTTTAGCAAATAAATTTATAAATTCTACATCTATGTAAAATATTTAATCATTCATTTAATAAAAAATTTAAAAACTATAACATTTTCCTAAAATAGGATAAATCTTGACTCCCAACCAGAGCGTTGTAATTTTGTGTTGACAAAAGACAAGAAATAGCGAAAAGCAAAGCAACGCAACGCAACCAGTATCTAACACACAAGTAACTGAGAGGAAGCATTGCAGCCATCGACCAATTTCAATTGTCACTTTCTCAGAGAGACCAGAGAGAGAATGAGCGGGGAAGGCAAGACTGTGTGCGTGACGGGTGCGTCCGGGTTCATAGCCTCATGGCTGGTTAAGTTGTTGCTCCAACGTGGTTACACTGTTCGAGCCTCTGTTCGCGACCCTTGTCAGCTCTCTCTCTCTCTCTCTCTGGTTATTGTATAATAATTTTGTCTTCAACTATTCAATATTGGGTTCTTATAATTACTTCTTATAGTGGTCATTTTTGCTTATTTCGATTTGATGAAAATCAGATCATTCCCACATCTTCTATACACTTCCATCTTTCATTTCGATTATACCAGTTGATTCGGACTGGGATTTTTAGCTACGGATCATTTCGATTTTGTGTTCTTTGTGTGTGTGTGTGTCCCTAGAAATTTTAGTTCCTAATTGTGTCTAGTGATTGCCAATATCACTCTAATATTGTTAGGTCATCGTCACTGATTGATAGATTGATTGTAAAATTGTGTCAAGTGATTGCCAAACAAGCTTCAGACCCACCATGTATTGTATCCTAATTGATAGATTGAGGCTCGTTTGGGAAAAGACTATTTTAGTAACTTTTTGGCTTTTTAGTTAAAACTGAAAGTTGCCAAACGAGGCCTGATTGTAGCAAAAAACTTTTGGAGTTGGTATTTTAGTCTGTCAATTGTAATTAGTTCCTTTGATGTAAATAACTTTACACTCAGTTTGGATGTGGTGATTTGGTGAGAGACGATAAGAAATGACGAGAATGAGAACTATTTTCTTTTGTTTGGTATATACGTTAAGTGAGAAATGTTGAGAAAGAGAACTCTTTTTGCTAAACCTATTTCATTTCTCACCAAAAGTGATGAAATTTGATGAGAAACAAGTTGATTGGTTGTTAAATATTTATAATACCAAGATTATCCCTTAAAATACAAGGAAGAAAAAGAGATACCACTCATATCTTGTTGGAACAATCTTCTGTTTAAAAAAAAAAAGAAGGTAAAATTGAAATAAAATAAATAAATTACTTATAGGAAATTCTTATATTGGAAAGTTAGAACAACAAAATCACCAGAAAGTTTAGAATTGCTAGATCAAGATTAAGTCGAGTGTGTGACACTATATTCTTAAGACAAATTCGCCGCCGCACAGGTGCTCACGGATTATTGGCGTCTATCTTCCAGGATACAATGACCACTCTCATAGATTATAGTAACACTACAAACAATTTGTCTTGCGAACTAGAACCTGAGTTCTACACTCTTTAAATTTCTATAACTAATATGAAGAACAAATGCAGGAAAGGAAGAAAAACGAGAAGGAATTGAATGAATGAATCTGCTGGAAAAGGTTTATAGTTGTAGGCATTGTGGTACCTGTTCAGAAGGGCAGAAAAACCCTCCAAACGGGTGTGAATTTGAACCGCCGGAAAAGATGAAGGAAGGTGACTGGAGAGGCACTGGTTCGGACAGAAAATTTTGAATTTCGAATTTTGGTGCAAAAGTTTCAATTAATCCATTTAGGATTTCAAATTTTTCTGCAAGAATTTGAAAAAATTCAAACGAATTTTATCTAAAAAACTAAAGTTAGGACACAACCCGACCCACAACCTACACCACGCAACCGTGCCCAGCATGGCTTAGTCGGACAGTGGCACGTGTATGGTGGATTTGGGTCAAACCCACTTTGTCCATAACTCCCTTTCTTACAAAACTTGGGGTGCCCCTTAGGGCCCATCCCAAGTATATCAACCTAGAGCTTATATATTCATACAAGCTCCTTTATTGTTTCTATGTGGGACAACCAAAACAAGGCAACCCACATTTGACACTTCAACTTCTCATTTCACGAAACTGAAAACGATGTCTACTTCCCATTTACCTATAAATGGTTTTGAAGAACCATCTTCATCGTGTGGCTTGCCATGTGGCAAGGAGTACGTTACCACTTGGACCCACCCCAAAAGACGTGTGGGCCCTACTTAAATTTGGGCTCAAAGTTGGCCCAAAATAAGCCTATAAAACCAAAATTTCCAACATGTCCCTCTCTCACTTGCTTTGTTTTCTTACTCATCCGAACGCGATAGTGAGAAAATGCAATCGTTTATTTTCTTTTCTCACCAAATGAGAGGCTACAATCATTTCTTTTCTTTTCTTACCCTATGGGCATGTTTGATTACAAGAATTATAGTATAGGATTGAGATTGTTAGTCTATGGACTCACAATCCCATGTTTGATTACAAATTTTATTAACCAGATTATATGTGCAGAGGATATTCAATTCGATGAAATTGGCAAATTTTTAATATTGAGAGGGGCTGAAGATAATAATTTCAAGTATGAAAGGAAAAAAAATAAAAAAATAAATGCATAATAAATGGTTATCTCACTAATTTAATTGGATAACTAATCCTACACTAATTCATAGGATTATTAATCCTTTCACTATTGATCCTGGTAATCAAACAAGGCCTAAGATCCAAGATGGTTGTAGAAATTTTAACTTTTTGGACATTCTTTGACCAGAGGTGATTTCAAATAAATCATCTTTTAAATACTGATACAGTGAGCTCCTCTGAAATTATGAGAGGAGCTCAGGCCATAGATATACCCAAGGAGTTCAAGTTTAGAAGTCAGGACCCTTATTTAGATCACCTGAGGGTTTTTGCTGTTGTCTTGATCTCATGATCTGGTAGGAGCAGTGACCCATTCTAAAACCCAGGATGTTGCAAGGATTTTGAGCCAGCATTATATCCAATTGAATTCGGTCTGAGCTCACAATAATATCATCACCAAGTGAAATGGACAACATATATCCAAGAAAAATAAAACAGTTGAACTCTTTTGACCTCAATGACTTGGATGGCTTTACCAGGTGGAAGGTTCACTCAACAATTAGGTTATCTATTTATGACCCAACTCACATTTCATAATGGATTTGTACCGTGGAAAAAATGCAAGGGCTCGTACTATTTAATATTTCAGTCATCATGAAAATGATGATTTTTCTGGTTCTTTTTTGTCATATTGACCTACCTTTGATTTTTTTATTTTTTTATTTCCTTCCTCTCTGGTAATAAATATCTTCTTACCTGCCAAAAAAATGATACACCTCTACTCTCTAACTGTGAATTCGCTAAAGTGAAATATAACTTCGATAACTAATTTATAATAGTACACCCCATGGAAATGATTGTCAGTTTACTTAATGGTCATGATTCAAGAATTTAATAATGCCGGATACAAATTCAATTTTTTTTTTTACCAAGATCATGCACTCTTTAGCCGAATCCAAATTCAATTGTTAGGAAATGCCCAATACAATCATGCTTCTTATGTTTCTAATGTTTGTGAATTCAAACTTTTCTCTATTACTAAAACACATATGGTTGTCTTCCCATTTTCCTATGAAGTAAGACAGTTTGGACTATATTTTTTTCACTGTGTGCTTACTTCAGGATAAAAACCTTCGGCAGTTTCCAAAGATTGTGGACACCACTTGTTTGAAGTCTGAAGATGTTCTCTTTTAATGCTATGCATCATGTAGCCAATATGGGTTAGGCTTGGATAATTGAGTAATTGATACTCAATTAGCCATGTTGATAGTTTATAGGCTTCCTTGTGAAAGAAAATTTTGTTGTAATTTTCAGGAGATTTGTTTTTTTTTTTTTTTCCTTATATGAAGTATTGCAGAATTTTTTTCAATCAAGATGGGCATTGTTTGGATTGAAACTTATATATTTTGGAATAATTTGGTCAATCTGAATATGACCATGGTGTGAGAATATTATGTAATTATGGTATTATATATCAATTAGGTAGGTTGATTGGTTGATTGTGAATATTTGACTATAGGGTTATTTCCTATTATAGATTAGGTTTAAAATTGCTATAAATATTGGTTGTAATCTTCGTATTCTACAAGTTGAATATACAAGTTATCATCTTTAGAAACTTACATGGTATTAGAGTCGTGTCTGGAACCCTAGCCATTAGCCTCAGAAATTGCTATCGTCATCAACAAAAGTCGCATTTGCGATCATCATCAACAGAAGTCGCAATCGTTGTGTGACTTGAGATTTCACGTCGCCATCATCACTCCTTCACTCTGTCTTCTTTATTGCGACCATTGGTTTTCTATCTCAGACTTGTCGCGATCTACTTCTGACCATCATCGAACTCGCAATTCTTGTTCTGGTTTGCGATTGCTGCTGTACTCTATCTCGAACGAGTCACGAACCACCTCTGGCCCTTGTCTTCTGGTTTGCAATCTGGTTCAGCTTCGGATCTGGTGACCGTCGTCTTTTGGCTTACAATCTGGTTCTCAGCTTTGGTGGTGTTATTGCTAAGTATTCTTGGTTTGCTGGTTATTTCACTATGACCCTAAGGTTTTCTGGCATTTGCAATTTGACCCCTTCTGAGTTCTCATCATGTGTGAAGACAAAAGTCATGCCATTAGTTGCTGACTAACTGGTTCCAATTACACATATTAGGCCAGTGTTATGAAAATTTTTATTGTCGGCTGTAAAAAGTGGGGTTATGTTTCTAGTTCAGTCCCTCATCCATCTGATCCCAAGAAAGAGGGATATGAGGCTGCGTGTGATGCTTGGGATTCTGATAATGCTCAGATTTTGACTTGGCTCGACAATTCTATGTAAGATCGCATTGGCATGATGTTCTCTAAATATTCCACTGCAAAGGAGGTGTGGGCGTATTTACTCAGTGTCTATCAGCAGTCCAATTTTGCCAAATGGTAAGAGTTAGAAACCACTCTTCAGGGTGCTTGCCAACGGGATAAGTCTATTCAGGACTTTTATGTTGAGATGACTGGTCTCTGGGATCAGCTTGCTTTGATGGAGCCTCCTAGCATCAAGGTGCTAGATGATTATCTACGATTTCTAGAAGATGGTCGTCTGGTCCAATTTCTGACGGCTCTCTCCCCTCAGTATGAGGCTATCCATGGTGGCATCCTTCATCGATTTCCTTTCCCCCTCTGTGGATGATATTGTTCGTGAGCTCCTCTTTGAGGAAACCCGTCTTAAGACGGCCAGTTAGACTCTGTCTCCATCTGTCTTCTTGGCTCCTACTCAGCCTCCTCTGTTGTCGACCCACCACCTCATCAACTTCAGGGCCATACGAAGCCCAAGAAAGGGCCACTAGCCTCTGATGAGTGTGCTTTTTGCCATCAGAAGGGCCATTGGAAGTACAACTGTCCCAAGAAGGGACGTTAGTATGCTCAGTCTTCTCAGCCACCTCAGACACGGTTTCGACCTCTTGCTGCTTATGCTACACATTAGGCTGCTTTGGTTTGGATTCTTTGTTATCTCTGAGGTACTATCTTTCAGGGTTTACTTTTATTTTCTATTTCCTCTTTGGACTTGGTAGCTTATGCTAATTCTAATTGGGCTGGTGACGTCACTGATCGCAGTCCACTTCTGGTTTTCTGCATGTTTCTTGGTGATTTCTTGATTTCTTGGAAGAGCAAGAAACAGGTTGTTGTTGCGTGTTCCACTGCCGAGGCTGAGTATCGTGCTATGGCTCATGCCACTGCTGAGATTGTTTGGCTTCGTTATCTCTTGACTAATTTGGGTGTCCCTCAGTCTTCTCTGACCTCCCTTTACAGTGACAACCGTAGTGCTATTTAGATTACCCATAACACTGTCTTTCAAGAGCGGACGAAGCACATTAAGATTGATTGTCATTTTGTTCGTCAGCATCTGCAGTCTGGCTCCATCTCGCATCCTTTTGTTTCTTCAGCTTTGCAACTTGCTGATTTTTTTACGAAGACTCACAAAATTGCTTGATTTCAGTTTCTTCTTTGCAAACTCTCAGTATTTTCTACTAAAACACCTTGAGTTTGAGCGGGGGTGTGAAAATATTATGCAATTACGGTATTATATATCAATTAGGTAGGTTGATTGGTTGATTGTAAATATTCGATTATGGGGTTACTTCGTATTATAGATTAGGTTAGTTTAGGATTGCTATAAATATTGGTTGGAATCTTTGTATTCTACAAGTTGAATATACAAGTTATCATCTTTAGAAACTTACACATGGCATTAACAATTTATTATATAGAGGTTTCATAAGAATTTATCTTGTAGTTGTGACTTGTTACTGTAAACTGTGTTACATGGACTCGGCACTTTGGGGCGAAGTACCTGTGTCGACACGACATGACACGACACGGGTGCGGGTGTGGGATCTATGTCGGATTCGCCTGTTCTCTCTCGGACACGGCTCTTTATAGACAAGAAAAGAAATGAAAGAGGAGAGAGCAAGAGAGAACCTGGTCGCCTGTCGAAACGGCAAAGACATCGGTCACCGACTTCGATCCTTCTGGTTGTTGCTTCGACAGCTTCAACATGCTCGATGCTCGATCTCCATCTCCTGCTCTGTCTTCTCTCTCGTCTCTCGATCTCCTTCTCTGTCTTCTCTCTCGTTTCTAGATCTGTCAATCTCTCTTCCTCTCCTCTCGTCTCTCGATCTGTCGATCTCTCTTCCTCTCCTCTCGTCTCTCGATATTGATCTCTCTCTCTGTCTCTCTTCTTCTGTTTTTCTGACTTCTCTCTTCTTCTTTCTTCTCTTCTCTTTTCTCTCGTTCTCCCTCTACTTTCTTCTCTCTGTTCTCTCTGTTCTCTCTGTTCTATTTTCTTGTCTTCTTCTTTATCTTCTTCTCTCTGTTCTCTCTGTTCTATTTTCTTATCTTATTTCTATCATGTAGTCTAACGACTTTATTCCACCCTAGATGGTAAGAGTCGAGAAATAGAAAGCATCACTACCTTAAGCTTTGACTCAATTATTTGGGGCATGTGGAATCCCTTGTGGATTGGCTAGAACCACATTGCAAGCTTTTTGGTCTAAAGTCTTTCATTAGCCTGGCTGTACTTGGATATGATATTTAATAAAAATACAAGTATTTGAATGTGCAGGATGTGTGCATGTACTGTACCCATTTTTCAGACATGTATCCTAGTATATTGAAATATCGGGTTTAAACCTAGACACACACTTGCACTATATACACATACCCAAGTCCATGTTTTGTAGAAAAAAAGGAAAATGATAGGCACTTATATGCAAATTATACTATTTGTGCACATTTATAAGCTTATAAAAGTATAATATTCCATCAAAATGTGTGAATTGATATAAATTTGTTCAAGTAGAATTCAGGGGATTAAATCGAGAAATGCAATTTAATCTCATGTGTTGGTCATTTGATGTTGTGCCACCTAAAAATGCACCCTTTCATGGATTCTGGCTGAGTTGCCAGTTTTTCACATTTATTTAATACTTGGTAATAAATTGCAGCTGATCAGAAGAAGACGGACCACTTACTTGCACTTGATGGAGCCAAGGAGAGACTTCACTTGTTTAAAGCAAACCTATTGGAAGAAGGTTCCTTTGATTCTGTGGTTGATGGGTGTGAAGGTGTTTTTCATACAGCATCTCCATTTTTTGTTACACCCTCGGATCCACAGGTCCATTTCATATTGTGTTTGTTTATATTCTTCTTCTTATTCTTCTTCTTGTTCTTGTTCTTCTTTTGTATTGTTTTTAAACTGCCATATATCAACACAACGGGTGATAGATTGCCAAAGTTTTCAAGAGTACTTGTCAGTGGATTTAGCCAAATGTTGGGTTCTCGAACATTGTTGGTTATGTAATGAGTTGTGCTTTCCACTGGGTCCTTTTGTATAATAATAGGGAGAGGTAAACTATGTGCTGCGCAATGTACTTCTCAGTTACTATTGTATATGGTACCAATCCCTGCAAGGACAAACCAAAACCAAACCTAAACTCATCCAACCTGTTCAACTTATCAATTTAGCTGAGGTGCCCCCCCCCCCCCAAGAAAAAAATGAAAAATGAAAAAAGAAAAAAGAGAAAAAAAAAATTTTTGTTGCTTATAGGGAAAATCAAACCTAAGCTCCTCTAATCCATTGACCAATTGAGGTAAGAGGTTCCTCACTCCCTTCCATTAAAATAAATAAATAAATACTCCCTCTCTTTTATGTGTTGGCCTGATGAGGTGGGACATGGCCAAGCATGGGTGATGGGGCAGATACTTCAGAACTTGGTTATATACACACAAAAAATAAAATAAAGCATTCATTACACATAGGTCACAAAATTTTTTCTTAGTTGATGGAACAACATATTTGCATGCCTTGAGCAACCATTGTCCCTAATATATTTGCTTATTTGGTCATAGATAGTGATGGGTCATTTCATCAATCTCTTACTCTCTTTTTTTATGCCAAGGAACCTTCCCAAGACAAGGCCACATTAGACACCCCTGCAGAGTTAACCCGAATACCCATAATCACATGCAAACACAGTTTATTGGTTAAACCAGGGTGACTCTAGTGAGAGTCAAACCTAGGATGTTTGGGTTTACAGTTCATCCCAAGGTCCAACCCTGTTGCCACTAGGCTACTTGTGTGCGTTATCCATCTCCTGCTTGGTTTCTAGACATTCTCAAATGTGATGGTCTTGTTTTTCCAAGTCTAGCTTACATCATTAACTACTTTGCTTTCAGAACTATCTTTGAGTGAGTGTGACCTTTTACAGGCAAACACTTTCTGGATGAGTTTTATAAACTCTGACACCAAATTTTGTTCCTCATAATCCTGCTAATTGGTGTTTTTATATATATTGTACGGATTTTTCTTGATTTCTTTTTCATGATACTTCTCTTTTGTAGTAAAAGACATTGACTTTTGGTCTGAATAACCAGCATATTATTTTTCTTTCTGATTTTTGTTTCCAATCGGTTAAATGGAATGTTATTTCTATCTAGTGGATTTATTCATCTTGTGACAGAAAAACATCTCAAGCATATGATTTATAAGAGCCATCGTGGTATTCTTTTGTCTATTTGTTGATAGTAGATTAAAAGCCTCATTATATTTGCTTCATAATACTGGTGGTGGCTGATATCCTGTAATTATTATTTTCAATTGATTTACGTAGTATGTCTTCCTCATTTCAGGCAGAATTGATTGAACCAGCGTTAAATGGAACACTAAATGTTTTGGGATCATGTGCCAAAAACCCAACTGTCAAAAGAGTGGTTTTGACATCATCTATAGCTGCAGTTGCATACAATGGTAGGCCTCGAACTTCTGATGTGATAATTGATGAGACTTGGTTTTCTGATCCAGAGTCATGCAAGGAAAATAAGGTACGTATTTGTGTAACTGCTAATCATGTACTTTTGCTATTTAGCTTTTATATGTATATGGAGGCTCAACCTTGGGCTGGTAAAACTCAGGCTACTAGCTCCCCAACTGGCAGAACCAACAATGGGCAATGACTTTTCTTTTTTATTTTATTAGATTTTTGTTGATACTCAAGCTACTGTATCAATATAATGATGTCATCAGCACATGAAAGAGTATTACTTGCATAAACTGAGTTTTACGTGCCATTTAGATGTGTATAATGTATTACAAATTCAAATTTTCTTATCAATCAGTTAGGATCATAAAGTATAAGCAGCTCTCAAGAACAGTGTCATTGTTACTCTAATTCTGTTTGGAAGGAACCAAATAAAAAGTGTCTTCGCATTTTTTGTTGTCATTGCCCTTCTTGGGAGTGTTGTTTGGAACTAGTTAGAGGAGAAATTACACAAAGAGAAAGAGTAGGAGTTTCCCTTTTTCTTTTCTTTTCTTCTTCTTCTTCTTCTTCTTCCTTTTTTTTTTTTTTTTTTTTTTTTCTTCTTCTTCTTCTTCTTCTTCCTTTTTTTTTTTTTTTGTTTTGTTTTGTTTTTTGTTTTTTTGGGAAAAAAAAGTGGGGTTGTATCTTTCAACAAATTTAGCATCTTTTCAAAATTCATGCTCAACTAAAAAGCTTCAAACAGAGAGAACCATGAATAGTTTCAACACAAATAATTTGATTCTCTTTGTCCAATTTTCTCTTGTTTTGAAGAAGCACAGATCTTGTTGGAAAGTTAAGTTTCAAAATTTAATGCATGGTTGATTCCTAAGGAGTCACGCCTGTTAATTCACAACATTAAATACTAAAGGGTGTATCTCTTACGAAAGGGTACCTAGAGTCCTATAAATATAGGACCACCCCATACATCAACTTCGCTTGTTGTACTCTCTCCATCTCTCTTTTCCTCTATATTCTCATATTTATTTCTAGGCAATTTGAAAAAGACTTCACACTCCTTTCTACCATCGATTGTACACATTTTGCGAGATTCTAGGTTGCATCTTGGAGTGGTATTAGGTTGTCAACACTTGCACAAAGGGTGGACAATACGACTTTAGGACATCAACTTCTTGTACCTCTCATAAATCTGACAGACAATTTTTTTTCCCTACTTTCATTATTATTTTTTGTTCATTGATTTTTTGTTTTTTGATTTTATCTATTATTATATTTTTGTGATAGTTACTATATATTTAATTGTTTGTGATGTTTAAATCCCCAACAAATCTGAGCTTCAGATTCAATCAGAAGATTTTTCATTTGTGCAATAACTTGGAGCATGATCGGGACATAATTCGTGTGTAAACTATTCAAACAATTTTTTTGACCAGGTGCAAGCAAATTTGGAGCATAACATGGGCATAATTAATGTGTAAACTATTCAAAAATTTACAAGGACTCTGTTTGTTGAGTTTTACGAACTTGTTTTTTGAATTTGTTTTGAAAGATAAGGAAATAGTTTGACAAAAATAAATACCAAAAAGATATTTTCCAATTTTCAAAAATAATATTGCCTAAAAAAGAAAAAACCATACGAAAATAAGGAGTGTTTTGCAAGACTCTAGCAGAGGATGGTTGTTAATAATTTGCATTGCTCCCTGTTGCCTTTTCTGTATTTGCTACCAGCTTTGGTATCAGCTGTCCAAGACTCTAGCAGAGGATGCTGCCTGGAAGTTTGCAAAAGAGAAAGGTATTGACATGGTTGCAATAAACCCAGCAATGGTTATTGGTCCTCTGTTACAACCAACACTTAATACAAGTTCTGCTGCTATCTTGAACTTAGTAAATGGTAAGTATTCTTTATATAGGAATAATCCATATGCATTTATACTGCCTTTTATCTTTTGTGAGTGACTGCATGGGCATTCTCTCTATCTAATATTTAGGCATTGTATGGAATGGTATGCAAGCTATATTAAACTTTACATATGATGAAAGGAAGAATGTCTTATTGGCCAAGATGCTGTATCTTTGGGAGCCTCTAAATGCACACCACATATTGACTCAATACTATTTACTCAGTTTGAATTTTTTTTTATTTTCTCAATTTAGACCATCAATTTTCAAGTAACAACCAAGGTGCTCTCATCTTCTCCAACTTTCAAACCCTATCCTAACCCTAACCCTAACACTAACCATCTCCATCATCACCGCTGGCTGCCACCCCCTCCACAACTGCATCCTCTCCTTGTCGCAACAACCCTCCCCATCCATCACTGCCGCCTCCCCAGCCCCTCCTTCAAACCTTAGAAGAAAAGAAGGCTGGGGAGGGGGCGAGATGGGAGGGAAGAAAAAGATGACAGGAGGAGGAGAGCTGGGGCGGTGAAGGTGTCGGCAGAGGCAGCGAGGAGTAGTCGGTGGCAGTAGATGGAGGGCTGGGGAGGGGCGATGAGGCTGGGGACAAGATGGGGAGGGGCAACGAGGCTGGAGATGAATTAGAGAGGGACAACAAGGCTAGGGGATGGCAGAGAAGAGAGGAGGTCGAAGTGGTGGCGGTGGCTGGTGGAGGCTGGTGGTGTGTATCAAGAGATAGGTTTTTGTCCAAAAGAGTAATTTGCTTGACGGACAAAAGTGCAATTTGAGGTTGTATTTATGTTTCGTTCATTTCAAGATCCTTGCTTATTTAGTGAAGATAAAAATAAAACATAAAATATTTCTATATACTGTAATTTGCAAATGTAAATTTAGTAAAAGTGTGTAATAGCCTACCAGTCACTTATACTTGACATTTAGATTTGAAATTAAAAATAACCGTTAATTTAAATGGTAGTAATTGGTATCTACATCAAATATTATGTTAAAATTCCTTTTTCTTTGACATATTGACCCATACAATTTGCTTGTCTGTTGTGTAGGTTCACAAACATATCCAAATGCTTCATTTGGATGGGTTAATGTTAAAGATGTTGCAAATGCACACATTCAAGCATATGAGATTCCTTCAGCCAATGGAAGATATTGTTTGGTTGAGAGAGTCGCACACTACTCTGAAGTTGTGAATATACTACACAAGCTTTATCCTTCTTTTCAACTTCCAGAAAAGTAAGTGTTTGTGATTTGTTGTCGACTATAATTGTGTTTTTGCAAAGTAGTAATTGGCTTCGGAATTGAAGCTCTATTTCACAAAAAATAAGCATTGTTGAATCTTTTTCTCGAAATGTATCCATGTTCTTCATATTGTTTACCAATTAAATTCAAACTATTTATCTTAGCTTGATTAAGTGTCATAAGATATAGATAGAGGTGACAAACTCAATCCGAGCCAATGAACCCATCCAATTATATCCATGTAAAACCCATTTGCACCTCTACAAAATTATAAATGGGTTTAAGTGGGTTGCTCGTTGCAAACCCAATTAAAATTGGGTTTACATGGGTTGGACATGAGCATAGTAGCAGGAATAGCACAAACAAGTTATGTTTCTTTCTAAGAAACGTGATGCTGCGCTTCTTAGAGAGAAACGTGTAAGAATCGCATTTCTATTGAGAGAGAAGCGAGGAAAAGAAAAACATGATCCAGTCTCAATTAGGGCTACGAAAGTGGAGCTTCTTCCATGTATTTGCTTCGCAGGCTCTGTGATCTTCATCTTCTTCGATTGTTGAAAGCAAAACATCTCCCTCTCCCTCTCTCAATCGCTACCAGACCTCCCTCTCTATCTCTCTCGACTTTTCTCTCTCTCAGCATTTTCTTCGTTCCTAACAAGAGACTGAAAAGTCTAACTCTTAGGTGCGCTGTTTGATAAAAAAAAATGAAAACTGAAAACTGAAAATTAAGTACAAAAAACTGAATGCTGAATTTTTTAATCTAAAAAGCTGTTTGGTTTGTACTGAAATTTAAGTACTGATTTAATTAAGATGTTTGATTATACAAGTAGCTGAACTCTGAAAAATAATTAAAATTAAAAATTGTCTTTTTACTTTTTAACATTAAAATATTTAATTAAATTCTTTTATCACACTAATATAATTGGTAAAGAAATTATTGTAACCACAATTATAACATAAACAAGTTAATACATATAAACTTTAAAAAAAAAAAAAAAAAACTCATAAATAATGTATTCAAATATATACATGCAAGTTAAATCCAAATAAAAAAGTAATTTTCTGGACTTACCTGCTTGCCTCAATAGATGAAATTGAATTCCTTGGAAGAGTAGCCAAAGCAGCCAAAACCGTGAGGAAGAATGCTTTGAGAAATAGCTTTTCTAAACCTATATCACTTAGCGCCGCTCCCCCCCCACCAACTTAGCATGTTAAGTGATAAGTGAAAAGTAGGTTTTTTTTTTTTATTTTGAAAATTTTGGCCTTTTTTTAAGTGGGACTTAATTTTTTAAGTGATACCATATATGTACAATCAAACCAGCTTAATTAAGAAATCGCTTAATATTTTCAATTTTAAGAGCTGCATTGGGTTATCAAACACCCCTATATAATATATTATAAATTAATATCTTTTCATTTAAGTTGTGCCTTAATATCATATTTATACAGAATGACTTTTAATTTAATCTTTCTCTTTTTACAATTAATGAAATCTGCCTTGTTGTACATTGCACAAATACATATAAATTCCACCTAACTAATTTATTATCTTGTGTTGATCAGCTCAAAAATATAATACATACTTGCGCATTATATTATATTTCCATTACTTTTAAATTCCACCTAATTAATTAATTTTTTTTATGTTTAAAATGAATGTTTATTTGCTATTCATTTTTAAACAAATATTTTTTATGTTGTATTTAATTAATTAAATATTATATAATAAAAAAACACTCCACTTCACCTAACCCACTATCACCTCCACTACACCTACTACCACATTTTCTTTTATATATAGATTGTATAGGAATTGTAATTAATCAATCTTGTAATACATCAATCAATAATACATATATTTCAACAATACATAAGTGCTCCTAACCTATGACTCCTCTAAGTGGCCACGCTCCTGCTCCCATTCCCGTTTTGTGCAACTAAAGACATGGGTACCCGTTAAAATGGGTAACCACTTCTTCCACCCCCCCACCCCTCCCCTTTGACCTCCACCACCATCATCGTCATTGCAGTTGCCACTCCACCACCATAACCACCGCCACTGCCATTGCCATCTATTAGGAAAAAAAATTCTATGAAGCAAATGGGTTGGTTGCATTCATTCGTCTAACCCAATTCAACCCAACTCATTTATTAAATGGGCGGGTTTGGATTGGGTTGTTTTAAGCATTACCCGTTTTGACCTACCGAAACCCACCCATTTGTCACCTCTAGATATGGCTTATGAGGATATCCTCAATCAAAATATCCATTCATTTCTCTTCTACCAGATTTCTATTTTGTCGTCTTGTCAGGCTCAAATTGTTTTTTAATCACTATTTTACCTTGCTTGTTATGACATTTGTATGGAAGTTCCATCTGCATCTACTAGTCTTTCATGTCTTTTCACATGATTCTTTTTCCATTTTGTCTATGATGTGACTTACACAAACATTAAGTAGATGTTGTGAAGCTTTAATGAGAAAGCAGTTCTACAATGTATTATGTCTTCTTAAAACTCTATATGAAGAATCATATGTTTTTGACTATTAAATTGAGTTGTGTCCTTGTATAAAGTTGAGTTGCAACAAGTACTTGAGAGCAGAGTTGTTGAAATCTACATCACTTCATCATGTTTTGAAAGTGGAAGCTGCTGAGGACATAACTTATGTTTGTTCATTTTAGTTCAATTTTTCATCCAACGTAACCATGTTTGTTCTGCAGCACTTTGCAGTATGAAAATTTTGACATCTTATTTTCATTTGACTCCATTTCAATGTTTGAGTTTTGAAATTCTGACATTCTATTGTCAATTTTTGGAATGGTTTACGACATTTTGAAAATTTTGAGATTCAACATAGGATCCTTTTGAACAGGAAACTGGTATGCCACATGTTGGACTGTCAAATTCTGAACTCTAGTAACATTTTAGTTTGGCATCATTTAAGCGTTGGGTGCTCTCTTAGTGATAATCAGTCTCTGCAAACAAGGTGCTAGTTAAGAATATCCTAGGTATTTAACCTAATTTATCTGGTACTGGAATGTGGGTTTCTATCATTTTGGTTTCCTATTGTTTGAATAACTTTGTTGAATTTTCTCATGTCAGAGTTAATGGGTTATTCATATGTTATCTGCTGTGCCAACATCTTTGTTTATTTTTGGTTTTTTTAAAATGAGGCATCAGCAGTTTTAATTCTTTTCTCTGATTATAACTTCTCCATTTGAACATGTGTTTAATTCTTTCTGCTTTTAGAACACTTGTTCTTTTCATTTATTGAAACAAGTTTAGATATTAATATTAAGAGGTTGTTTGGGATGATCTAAATAAGTATATTTTTTGACTTTTTACGAAAAGCTGTGCAATGTGATAGAGAGGTGATGTGACCCAAACAAGAGGTAATGTGATCTAAATAAAATAAAAAAAATGATCTAAAGTAGATCACCCCAAACAACCCCTTAGGTTGTGTTTGGATTATGGATTTGGGTAGGAATTTGGAAAAAAAAAAAAAAAAAAAAACTTTTCCTTGATTTCCTTTTCCTTTTCAAATCCTTACCCAAATCTTTCCTTTTCCTTTCCTTTCCTTTCCAAATTCCTACCTAAATCCATAATCCAAACACAGCCTTAAGGTTCTTATTAAACTCATTTCTTGGGTCTGATGGGTTTGTTTTTAGCTGGACGAGTCAAAAACTTGTAGAGCTTTCAGTGACTTCATTTATATTAGGAATCTTAAAATGTGGCATGTAAGTTTTTTAGGAGGTAATTGTTCCAACTTGCAGTGGTTATTGTCATTCTTTACCATTATTTTCTAAAGAAAATAGAATAAAAAATATTATGGTCGTATTGTATTGATGTCTTTCTATAACTTTGCTGATATTCCATCAAAATATCAATTTTCTCTTTCTTTTTTACTTCTAATTGATAAAATGTCTCTAAAGATTGAGCATATATTTGATATGCAAAATGATCAACTAGTTTCAGAACATTTAAATGTTTGGAGTGGCATGTGAAACTTCTATTGGGCCAATTTCTTTTTGTTAGGAATTTTCTTTTATGATTAGTTCTATTTCTAATTAGCTATATTGTTGTTTTCATCCCTTTCTTGATACACTTTGTAGGTCTGCGGATGATAAACCATTTATGCCAACATACCAGGTATCCAAGGAAAAAGCAAAAACTTTAGGAATTGACTTCATTTCCCTCGAGGAGGGCCTCAAGGAAACTGTTGAAAGCTTGACAGAGAAGAAATTTTTTGGTGTGTGGAGGATTTTGAAAACAAACATGTGATGGTGAGACACCGTTATGACATATTGACTTATCAAAAGAACTAATCTGAAAGAAACCAAAATTATATATGTATATGTTGGTGTGCTGGCTTTTATGATTTTATGTCATATCTGTCATGTTAACTTTGTCAATGATTTTTAAAAATGTTGATGGTGAGCAATACATATGTTAGGGTTGGGAACCTCTTTGTCTTCTATTAGATTATATTACCAATCCTAAAATCCTAATCTCTATGCAACAATCTTTGCAATACACTGGTAAGATTTTTTGACAATGGTTTGACTACCCAATTAATTGTCAACCATCTTTAAACCACCCTTAAACACTCCTTAAACCTTCGTCTTCTTTCTTCTTTTTTTTTTAATGACTGAGTGGGCCAACTTACAGACACCTCGACTAATCTCGAGATCCACACAAAGCATCCTCTCCACGTGAATCAGGCAAATTTCGGGTAGAACCCACAAGCGTGACCCCAATGAGTTGATAACAGCTTGTGAAAGTTGAATTTAAGACTTGGAGAGAGCATAACTTAAGGTCATGTTGCACCCATTAGGCCAACCCTTCGGGGTTAAAACATTCCTTAAAATATGATTGCAAGAAAGATTATTGAAGAGTGAATTTGCTTTAAACTTTAATTATTTAGACTATGTTTGAATTCTAAATTTGTTGAGGGCACTTTCTTTTCATTTTTCCTTTTTATCCCTTCTCAAATCCACTTGCCATTAGATTATGGAAAATTTATTCATAAATTTTATATGGGAGAATGTTGATCCATTTATTTCTAAGAGTTTTCTTATGAATCAATTAGTCTTTTTTATTTTGAAAAATTATATTTATTTGATTTGGAACCATTTGATTTTAAGTGAATGTCCTTTTTAAATTCATTTTTATAATTTTCTTATTTGTTTTGGGGATGAGAATTGAAATGTGATGTGTGGAATACTTTTTTTGGAGAGATTGGTGGCTGAAGTGGTGGTTGTCGAACGTGGAAATTTACATTTTTATTAGTGTGACTTTCTAGTGTTAGTGTTACTTTTGAAAAAAGTATACTAAGGAGTTTTTATGTATTACATTGATTGAAATGTTATGTTTGGAAAAAATACACTAACAAGTTTTTTTGGAATGTTATGTTGTTACGTTTGAAAAAAATATATTAAGGAATTTTTTAGTGTGTTATATTGAAGTGTTACGTTTGAGAACAACATATTAAAGAGTTTTTGTGTGTTATATTGATTGGGGTGTTACATTTGGAAAAAAATACATTAAGAAGTTTGTTTTTTAAATATTACGTTGTTACGTTTAAGAAAAATATACTAAGAAATTTTTTTAGTGTATTACATTTGAGTGTTATGTTTAGAAAAAACACACTAAGGAGTTTTTGTGTGTTACATTGATTGGAGTGTTACGTTTGGAAAAGTATATTAATGAGTTTTTTTGGAATGTTACGGTGTTATGTTTGAAAAAAGTACACTAAGGAGTTTTTTAGTGTGTTACATTGGAGTGTTACATTTGAAAAAAGTGCACTAATTTTTTTTTTGAAGTGTTATGTTTAATAATTTTAACATTATAAGACGAAGGAATTTTACACTAGAATAAGACCTTTGAGTCTATAAGAAGAAATGAAGAACCAAATAATTTATAAAATTACTATTTGAGATTTATTGGTGATTCACCTTTCGATTATATTGTTCATGTGCAAAATTATTTTCAACAACAAAAAAGTAAAAATAAGGGGAAAAAAAAAGTGCTCATTTGGGAGTTTTTTTTTTTATTTATTTTAAATATTCTAGAAAAAAAAATAATTTAGAGAATTGACCTACTTTTCAAACTATTTAAGAAACTAATCTACTTTTTAAAATCACATCTTGAAAATACAATTTTAAATTAAAATTGTATTTTCAACATGCAATTTAACCTTAAAATTTCATGTTGAAAATATAATTTTATGATGACATGAACTTCGAGTTTTTTTTTTAAATATTCTAAAAAAATATATATTTAGATAATTGACCCACTTTTTAAACTATTTGGGAAACTAACCTACTTTTTGAAATTGCATTTTAACATACAATTTCACCTTAAAATTGCATTTTCAAAATGCGATTTCAAAAATAGGTTACTTTCCCAAATAGTTTGAAAAGTAGATTAATTCTCTAAATAGTTTTTTTTTTAGAATATTTAAAAAAAAAAAAAACCTCCATGAACTTCACTAAGATATATTGCGTTTTCAACCTGCGATTTCCAGTTGAAATTGTATATTGAAAATGTAATTTTCAATTTAAAATTTCATTTTCAAAATGCGATTTTAAAAATCAAGTTAGTTTTCTAAATAGTTAAAAAGTGAATCAATTTTCTAAATTGTTTTTTTTTTTAGAATTTAAAAAAAAATAAAATAAAAAAAACTCCTCATTTGCAGTGTAATGTACTTTATACATTATAAGGGGATGTATTCGAATTTATGACACAAATTCATTAGGCGCAGTTAGAGATATTTCTGTCTGCATTTTTAATTTGAAAATGAACAAGTATATTTATTTATCCTTATTTTTTAATTTAAAATTGAACAAATATGTTTCCATTTTTAATTTGAAAATGGGCAGATATATTTATGTCCCTATTTTATTTAATTAAAAGTGCATAAATACATATATGTATATATATGTCCTTATTCTTTAATTTAAAAATAGACAACTAGATATATGTCTCCATTTTATGATTTTGAACTAAATAGTTAGACATATCTAGATATATTTGTCCCCATTTTATGATTTCAATGTGCACAATCATATATATAGATATATATGTCCTATTTGAAAAAAGACAAATATATCTATGTGTCCCTATTTTTTAATTTAAAAATGGATAGGTAGATATATTTGTTTCCATTTTATGATTTTAAAGTGCACAGTTAGAGATAATTATTCCCATTTTTAATTTGAAAATGGGCATATATATATCTTTTGTGATTTTTTTTAATTTAAAAATACATTAAGAAATTTTTTTGGAGTCAATATCAATCTCATCTTAGAAATAGATTCGTTACTCGTACATCAACTATCATCGATAGTTATCAAAAGAAAGAGATGACTTACACATCCAATGAAATGCTTTTATTATTTAAGGGGGATAGATTAGTGTGGGAAAGTATTTTCTGAGTCCCAACACGTGGCCAAGGTGACGCCGACGTGTCAGCCGAGGTGCCACGTGTCCAGGTCATGACGCCGAGGTGATCTCGGCAAGGCCGAGATTATCTCCGAAGATATCGAAATCCGAGATAAGCGGATAAGGGATGAGAGTCCAAGAATAAGGAAAGACTTTAGCATGGATAAAGATAAAACTCTTAGGGAGTTTATCTTTATCTATTGGAGAGTCCAGGATAAGCACTGAGCAAGAGTCCATTGAAGCTAGGCTTCAAGTGGGACAAGGATTGAGTTAATTATAAAAGAGAGGCACCTCCATGGGTCTAAGGTACGCAATTTATATTCTGAACAGTGAATTTAGCACTATTGATTATCTTCGAGAGATATACTGACTTGATCGTCGGAGTGCCCCGGGTGGACAAACCACCGTCGGAATCTTCTCTTTCTGCTGCAGGTGAGCTAGGTGTCATATATTCTGCCAGTTCTCTCCAGCTGAATACTGAGTTGGGCAGTGTGATCGGAAATCACTCACACAATTTGGCGCCGTCTGTGGGAAAGAAAGGAGAATAGATGGCCAACGACGGACAGAAGGAAAAGATTGGGGACGACACTCTTGCTGGGAGTGGCAGACCTATCGACCTTGACGTCGAAGGAGACAACCGCAACACAGAAACTCGTGACCAGAATCACAGCAAGAAAGACGTCGGCCAAGATGGCGACGTACCAAAGAAGCCAGATCGAAGTGGGTACTACAATGAGGATGACCTCCAGGTATGGAAGGATAGATGCCTGCGGAGGGACGAAGAGGTAAAAGAGATGGCAAACAAATTGGCAGACCTATAATCGGTCGTCAACTTCATGATGCAAAACAACGTCATGCAGCCACCATACCCGCTGCAGGACACGCCGATTCCAACGGCCAATGCCCAGAAGGGAGGGCAGAAGACAATCCCAATAGCCCCTTAGCACACTAGAAGCGAAAAGCACTCTCATCGGCCTTCCAGGGAGGTCGGGCGAGGAGAGTCAAGAAGAGAAGAATCACGGAGGACGCATCGCGCCAAGGAGGCAGACCCCAAAGAACATCGACATATTCAGGGCCAAGCGCTCTCCTTTAACACAACTCACGGAGAAAGATCGAAAAGGACCCACCATGAAGCTGAGAGTAGTATGACGAAAAGACTGAAGTCAGGAGACAGTCGAGCTCCTGGACGGAGCAAAGAAGACTTGAGAGATTACCTCAAGAGGAAGCAGCAGAATACTGATGCTGAGGTAACTTCCCCTGAAAAGCCGAGAACACCATTCTCGGTGGAGCTAGACAAATTTGAGGCTCCGAAGAGATTCAGTATGCCAAGGTTCCAAATATACGATGGTAAGTCGGACCCCAACTTTCATGTTGGATTATACCTGAATTCAATGGCAATGTACAGTGGGAACGAGCCATTGCTCTGCAAAGTGTTCCCCTCATCCTTTGGGGATATTGCATCAGATTGGTTCCACAAATTACCAAAGGGAAGCGTGAAGACTTGGGAAAGCCTGGCCGAGATGTTTGTGGCTAGGTTCATGACAAACAAGCTGCAGCCATTAAGGGTGGACGCACTAATGGCTCTGAAGATCAGTAAGGATGAAGGCCTTAGGGCCTATGAAAAAAGGTATTATGAGGTATTCAACCGAATACCAGAATGTAATCAAGAGGTGGCGGTCGTATCTTTCAAGAACGGCTTAAAAGATGACTGTCCACTACGAAAATCTTTGGCAAAGACATTGCCAAAAAGCATGGAATTGGGAAAGCCTGGCCGAGATGTTTGTGGCTAGGTTCATGACAAACAAGCTGCAGCCATTAAGGGTGGACGCACTAATGGCTCTGAAGATCAGTAAGGATGAAGGCCTTAGGGCCTATGAAAAAAGGTACTATGAGGTATTCAACCGAATACCAGAATGTAATCAAGAGGTGGCGGTCGTATCTTTCAAGAACGGCTTAAAAGACGACTGTCCACTACGAAAATCTTTGGCAAAGACATTGCCAAAAAGCATGGAAGAGCTCAT